CACTGAGTCAGACGACAAGACAGCATCGGAATGCGCGAAACTCCTCCCCTTTGCAGAAGAACAGATCCAATAACATACAACGCTGCAGCTTGTGAACTAGCGGCCATCGACCCATTTCCATTCAGATATGAGCCGCTGAATCCACCAGGCCATGGCTATACTCTTATACTCTTCGCCAAGTATAATTTAAATGATCAAGTCAAGGAGGATGGATGGGAAAGGCATGTAGCACGTATGGGTAAAAGAGGAATGCATATAGGATTTTGGTGGGAAAACTAGAAGGAAAGATACCACTAGGAAGACCTAGCTTTAGGTGGGAGAATAATATTAAGATTGATATTAAAGAGAGAGGATGGGTCCTACTGGCTGAATTGATCTGGCTCAGGATAGAGACCAGTGAAGGGCTCTTGTGAACATGGTAATGGACCTTTGGGTTCCATAAAATGTCGGGAAATACATGAGTAACTGCGCAACTTGCGGCTTTTCAAGAAGGGTTCAACCCCACTGAGTTGTTAGTTAGGCCAGGGTTCCTCAGACAGTGGGTCGCGACCTACTCTACACGGGGTAGCCAAATTCTTAAAATTTACTACGTATTTAAAATGCAACTGTACTTGCACAGTATTGATAAGTCGGTAACATTTAACATAGATGCTTTCGGAAAACGCAACAGCAGTGGGCGAAATATTTCGGAATCTTTCTGTAACTGTATAGGAACATTTTATGGTAGACTTGAAAGGATTCTGGCGATGGTGTATACTGTACTTCTTTAGGCTTATTTTGGACTTCACCCATCGTCTGGTATGTAAAAGACAAAAGTCTTTTACATACCAGACGATGGGTGAAGTCCAAAATAAGCCAAAAGAAGAACATTTTATGGCTTACTATACTTGCAAAGAGGCTGTAAAGCTATTTAGCTCCCTGCTGTCATTGTACAGACTTATAGACGCTGCCATCGTGTGCAGAACTGCACTTTCTGAGACTACAGTAACACTTTACGATGTATAGGTAACTGCAGGTGTAGAGAGAGGCTCTAAAGCTATTTAGGTTCCTGCTATCACCGTACAGTCTGACAGCCATTTGCAACAATGTGCAGAATTGAACTTTCCGCTGACCGGTAAATATGGGGTTACCCTACATTTAATTTTGGGGGGGGGGTTCCTCGGTATCACAAATATCGAGAACTCCAGCTGTAGGGAAAGGGTTAAAGTAAGAGATAAAGTGTGTTTTAATTAAACTGTACGCTATGAAGATGTATGGGAGAGTATACACGTAGATATAGCATTAGCCTCGGCACTAGTTATAGGTGCGTGGCCAGCTTCATGCCCCGGTCCACTTGACTCCAGGGGAAAAAGACCCAGGTATCCATTGGATAGGAGGCTGAATGAACCCCAGAACCTATGTGGACACTGTAGAGAAGAAAATCTCTTGCTCCTTCTACACTCTAACATATCTTTCTCCATCTTCCAGACCGCAGCTCAGTCACTACACCAACTGAGCTATCTCTAACTTTTCAGGGCCGCACATACCCACCATTCCCTGTCGATTCGAGGGCAATGACAAGTCACTGAAAACTATTATCGTCTGGGATGTGACACTATACCAACAAGGTTACTGTCAACAGACGACACATACCAGAACAATAAGTTCTGGGAAGAACTAATACCCTACTAGCCTTGATACAACACGGACCGTATAGAAAATGACGTATCCAACAATTCTTCTATTGTTGCGCATGTATTCCTTGCCGCGGTAACGCTTTTACCGAGCCGCAGCCTAGCAACGATAGAGGACTATATATACAGACACAGAGACTGACGGGAGGAATTTATGAATTACGTTAAGATGGGCTCAGCTGCCATGACATGCCAAGTTTAATAAATACCCCTTAAAACATTTAAAAGTTAACCGGGGGGGGGGATACACGGATGGCAAGAAGACCGCATAAGCCTACTTTCATTTTGCTTTCACAATAATGAAAGTAAGCTAAAAACAGCCATCTTAATAGTCAGTGTATCGGGAATCTCAAATACATAAGCATACTCAATAATTTTCTGATTTTCGTTTGCATTGCCCAAGACGGGGGCCAGTGAACAGATGAAGAAGCTTCGTGTTCAGTAAATTCTTGGCCAGCTGAGCGAACTTTAGCTCGTCAAGAACTCTGCTCCATAAAGATACTGTCCGTGTTTCCAAAACCTGACACTTTCCAGCAGAATATTCAGTGAATCTGATCGAGTCCACCAACTGAGGTATGGACTGTAGGATGCGTGTGGGTTGTAACAAGGAATCAGATATTGTGCGTCACCCTACCTCCCTCAGAGCAACTGCAAGCACTGCACCGCTATTTATTACCACAGAGAGCACTTAAAAGCAAGGCCTGTACATGTTTTATTAACTAGGCCCTCTGACCAACCTTTGGCACCTGTGCTTAACTAATTAAGCGCCATGCCATGAAGGCGTATAGGGGAGTGGATGTACAGATCCACATTTTCTTGACCTCGGTCATCTGCTGAATTAATTTACTGGCATATCTATGGTTCAACTTTGAAAACATCCTTACATAACCTCCATTAAGGTGTGTTATAGGGGCTATCTAAGAGTATTTTCTAAGTTAAACCGATAAATTATTTACGCACATATTTTGTACGTTGAAGTGTGTATATATGTATTTTTTGGGGTATATCACATATGTTGTATATGTTAGTCATTACACAGAGTGTCTTTCTCGTATGTCTTTGAGGATACGTCATACCTCGGAAAGTCAGCCTGACCCGGGGTGGAGGGGAATTCTGTATGGTCAACGAGACCTCCGATATGATGATTATTCTTGTTAACTTTCTAATGATGGCATAAAGCGATACGTCATTATCCGATGATGACGCAACCTCAAAGATGCATCAGACACAGTGCACAATATCACAAAAGAATACGCGGGCAACCCAAAACATATCAGTGGGTAACGTGTTGGAAACCCGTGTTGGGCAACTGTTACGATGACACAAGAATACTACAGAGCAACGCGGTGTTTAAACTCGGGACCTCAGTGTCCGAGCAGTACAGCTAATCCTGGGGAACCCCAAAATGTACCACGTGACGTGTCAGCGGGATGGGCTGTGATTTGGGTCGTGGTGGGGAAATCACCGGATCCGCTGGGATGTTTACGCAGCAAGGTGCTTTTGCGAAGCCACGGAAGATACATGTCTAGAGGTAAAACAATGCGACCTTCATGTTACATAATCGATCAATCGATTATACTCGGTGGAACGGACGATGAGAATCCGCCTACGCAACGAGTTAATTAGGCAGTCCTACTGACTAGTTTCGCGTGAATCGAAAGGAGTCTGACTTGAATTCGATATAAATCTATTATCGATATGTATACTTCAATCTTCTTGAAATCTGAAGTTCATTACCGAACAGGCTGGTCCGGCGAGAACGCTCTAGACTTGTATTCAGGAAATGCCTGCTTTTAATCTCGACCGGAACAACGGGTAACCTAGTTCTGATAGAAAATGGATATACTGATGTATTCTGAACAATGCAAAAGAAGAATTCCTGAAGTGTATTGGGCAACTTCCCTGAACACTATACTGACATCCAATTAAAAATTCTTTCACGATAAGTTACGGGCAAATAATTTCTTACACATCCTGCTGGTTAATCCCAGTAGATAACATTCACAAACCACTCTGTACGAGTATGATGTGCATTTTCTATAATTGGATTTGAAATTGTAATGGCGGTAACTACTAAAAAAAATCTGGAATGTGACGCCGTGTAGGAAAGTCTGTAAACATTGCTTGCTTCTTGTTGGTTACTTGCCTGGCTTACTCTTGTGCCCTGGAGATGAAGGCATACCGCCTTCTCTGAAACGTCGGTCAACTTCTGCGACACTATACGGCGTCTCACAAAATTCTTCCTACTTATTTATTAATCATAGGTTTATCCCTGAGTAATGCAGCAGGATAGGTGGGGAAGGAATACGTCACAGCCAACTTGAAAAACTATCCCGGCATTTGACTGGGCGGACTCAGGAAAACCACAAAAATACTTCAGGCCAGCCGGTCTCTTGGGCCCAGATCTGAACCGCGGGCATCCAAAATATGAAGCAGGCGTGTCCATCATTCGACCGCGACGCTGGTAACGCTGTTAGTCTGAGAAGTTCCCGAACAAGCGATGCCGGGGCACAAGGCCGCTGGTTTCCATTCGCTCCGAAGACCTTGACTACGTAGGTCAGGCTTGCTTCTGAAGGTCGAAGTGTCGTGCTGCATCGTACGGCAGACGGTTCTGGACATGCACGGGCCGGAAATACAGCATGATAAAGTGACTTTTGGGGCTACTCTACGACTGTCAGTATCTCAACCGTTTTACCTTGGAGCAACACTTGAAATACTTTTCAAGTCTCAGGCAATCCTTGCATAAAAATTATTATAACGGTAGGCTCTGGATTTATTGTAAATGTTGTAAACTTATCTTAATTAGTGCTATTTGTAACATGAAAATTTATTGACAATGCTGAATAGTAAGGTTACTGAAAACATAAATCAAGGCAATATGAACAAAAACTATCGTCTACGACAGTGTTATTTTTTAAACTAAAATTCTGAATGAAAATTACTTCTTTAGTGTGAAACCTGTGCTTGTCCTTTGCGCATAAATAATTCTGGGTAGAACTGTAGATTAGCACACACAGATTTCATCTTCTACTGAAATGAGACGATTTCTATCTTTGCTCTTAATGCCTGTTAAACAAGAAAGGCCTTGCTCACACATGTAAGAAGTTTAAAATTGCAGCAACAAGTGTATTAAGAAGAAGTCTGCTTTTACCAGTAACCTTCTAAAACTACTGAGCATTTCTGATTCAGTCGAATGCGCTGAAGCTCTGGAGGAAAATACTGTTTTGAAATACTAGTCACTCAGGGCACACTTGGTATAGGCTACTTTTACAAATGTCTTTGACATTTATGGAGCACGCGTTATATAGTGTTGGTGTGACTACTTACCGGAACCTTATTGGGAAACTTGGCCCGAATCACCGCCACTTCTTCCTTCCGGCTCGCTGGAAACAAGAACAAGGCCATAAGTCACAGCTTGAACAGGCTCCTCCTGTACGTTGAGTTAGAAAATGCTATAAGTGTGATATGCACGCTTGACGAAAGGGCAAGCACACTCGTAAGAGACAAAGCCATCTTCTCGTCAGACAGGATGTTACGTACGGGCTATTACCGCAAGGGCTTAGTTGAAAAAAAAATCTTTGGTCGTGAGTCTCTAAGGGCTAGACGCCAAGACGAATTGATTAGCGGTAAACGGCCAGTCGTAAAGTAACTCAGACTGACTGGGCCGCGCCATAGCTCAAGAGGTTAGTCGCTAGCTTTTCACCGCGGCGGCCCGGGTTCGATCCCGGGTCTGGGCAAATGGGATTTGTGGTGGACAAAACGGCGCTGGGGCAGGTTTTCTCCGAGTACTTCGGTTTCCCCTGCCAATCTTCATTCCACCAACTGCTCCACAATCACCCTCACCTAACATCTGGGACTGATAAAATAGGCCAGAAGTGGCCGCCGATACAAGTGAAAGTTTTCTCACCCCCATCTATGGGAAAGCATGCGTCAGACCTACTGAAATTTCTTTTCATTGAGCCCTTTAAACACTGAGTCGTTGAAACAGAAACCACGATAAGATGTGCAGTCAACATTTCCGGGATTCCCTCTCTGGCAGTCACGTGACGAACAGTTCCTCATACTCAGCACGGCCTTGTGGCGGCTTCCGCATGCTACCACATTCCCGAACAGATGGATCATTGCAGGCATGAGTGTGCACTGGGCATGCGCAGGACGTAAAATAATGCACAATTATTGGACAGCTTTCTTGTCCACTGCCAGGATTGTCAGGATTAAAAACCTACGTTTCGGAGGCTCACACTGATAGAAGGAAAATGCGAAAACGCTATTGACCAACTGAAGCTAACTCCTGGAAGCACAATCCTTGGGAAGCAAACACTTGCTCGACTACTTAAGAAATTCCACGCATTTTATGCAGCGCTAAGGCTCACTGCCGCGTTCATAACACCCGCCACTGATCCTCATCCTGGGTCAGATAAATCCAATTCGCAATCTTCAATCCATTTTATCATTATCACCCACGTATATCTTAAGTTTCCTTATGGCCTTTTTCTTTCAGGTTTTCCTATCAAAAACTGTGTGCAATTCTTTTCTCTCCCATGCATGCTATTCCTTAATATCTGGGAATGAATTAGCAAGTTTTACACATAGGGAGCCACATACTTAAACGGTATAGGCCAGGAATTTACTATGTATTCATTTCTTATTTAATGATGCTGTCAGTAGCTCAGACTACATAGTCTCCAATGGTAAGATGATTAGTGGATAATAAATTGGAAAGGATGTGGAAGGAAGCGGTCATGACCTAATTTTAAATACTGTTCCAAAATTTGCGTAGAGCTCTAAAGGAAAACCACTAAAGCGTGATGCTGACCGCTCACCTCCATCTAATGCCGTCCGTTAAGATTACCTGGAGTCTTTCTTTCATTCCCCCCCATATATTTCATTGCGCGGAACTTTATTACGCAAGAGGACAACTTTACCTAACACAGTGTACAAACACGTAGGCAACCTGAATGTAGCCTACAACTCGTCCCTCTGGCATCCGAGAGCGTGTCTTCCCATTACGGGTTAATACATAAGTATATATCAGTATAAGACGACGCAATTTCTGAACCGGCAATTATGTTTATATTGCATTATTAAGATAAGCGACACGAAGGCAACATGTAAAAGACCAATACGAAACCTCAGGCATTACGAGAATTAAATTTGCAAGAAAATTAAAGAGAAGAAACACTTCCCTGGTCGTCTCTGTGGAGACGTCGGACAAAACACTGCCTTCAACTGCCACAACATTTATTAAGTTAGCTATTACCATGGCAACGTCACAAGTCACATGCTGATGAAGGGTACCATCAACTGAACATGAAACACGGCACGCAACCACCACCTAAGTAAAGTGATGCCAGTAACTAACTCTTCTGATATTAAACATGACTTCAAGAGGAAACCGCAGTTTTTTCTAGACCTTTCTTAGGGGGTAAGTCAATTCTCTATTAATTAACGACAAAATTAATATACATATGGCCGCGCCATAGCTCAAGCGGTTAGTCGCTGGCTTCCCACCGCGGCGGCCCGGGTTCGATCCCGGGTCTGGTCAAGTGGGATTTGTGGTGGACAGAGTGGCACTGGGGCAGGTTATCTCTGAGTACTTCTGTTTCCCCTGCCAATCTTCATTCCTCCAATTGCTCCACAATCAACCTCACCTATCATCTGGGACTGGTACAATAGGCCAGAAGTGGGCGCAGTACAAGTGACTTGGTCCCACCCCACTAGCAATAAAAAACACTCATACACTGTTTAAACCGCTTTTGGAGTTTCCTTCAAATAAACTTCCAACTGTCCGCTGTATATATTAGCGCACGTACTAACATGTGTCAGATTAGTGAAAGTTTCCCCATGGCTAATACATCGACAAATGGCAGTTTTATCTTACATTTACAGTTTAAGGACCATGAAACCTGAACCGAAAAATAGGCCAATGCAACGCAATGTTTCAAAGAGGCTGCCCACCCAATATCTCATGACACTCAATGTCACCTGACTTCAGTGACCTCAAGAAAAGTGTTTTCAACATTCTACAGCCGTTCATTGATTCCTGCATTATACATAGTGTTAAGAAAGGTTACAAGCTCTAAGAGGTTATAGTAACTCACTTAAATAAGCAACAAACGTCCCAGTCAACACATGTCCTGAAACCATCGACTGCTGATATGAAGTTCGCGTTATCTGTTCAGCAGATGTTGTACAGCATGTGATTCCCAAGCATTTCAACACAACTTTCAGCTCTACGGGTGCACACAGGTGTGCACTCTGCCGAAAATTCCTACTTTCACTCGAATCTCCTGCAGGCATTCTGCACTCGTTGCTGTGATACCTCTTGCAGTCATTGATCGGCGCTCAATACACCAAATTCTTTAGGTGTCTCCACAGTAAAAAATCTAGGGGACTAAGGTCAGCGGATCGTGCAGGCCAGTTGATAGGGTCTCCGCGTCCTGTCCACTGTTCTCTGAACAGGGGCAGTTTGACAATGCGGAGGAAATGACGTAGTGCCCCATCACGCATGTACCACACGCGTTGTCGTTGATGAAGAGGCGCATGTTCCAAGAGTATTGCTGAATCATTCGCCAAAATACGATGGTACACTGCACCTGTTAGTTTGTTAGGTAAGACAACTGATCCTAAAGAGTTTTCATCACCTAAGATGCCCTCCCAGACACTGACCCGTCCATATAGATTTCTGCACATACGTTTGCTCGAACTTTTCCCCTAATTTCCCCTTAAAGCCGGCAATCAACGTTTCCTGTAAGCCGGGGATGAATGTACGCAAGCCTTGGTTTCTGAGCAGCAGCTGGGTTGGCTTGGATCACGAGAAAAGTAGGGTGGGGGCAGCGAGTATGGAGAAACGGTCCATAACGGACATTAAAATTATAAGTTCTCAAAAATAACAAAAAAAGTTTGTGGGTTATTTTTCTCAATTTTATTTTCATTAATTGAAAATGTACTATACATTAAACCAATAAAAGTGCGTGGGAGACTGAGACTCGTGCGCGGGTGTTCGACAGCCGCTGTCCGGCCGCGCTCGCGCAGTTTCGAGGTAACATTGCCTGTAACACTTCTTTTTAGCACTGCATAACGACGCTTTTTTTTTTCAAGCCAAATGTTTACCCAGAAACAAATGAGATGGCGAGTCTGAATTTGAAAGTATGAGATGGTGGCCTACTTAAATCCATTAACCCCGTATTTGCCTGCAAAGGACAGCAGACAGCAGGGCGAAGATGAATCAGTTACCACTTGACTGGAAGTTGAGACTGTTATGTTACCGCTACAATAACCTGTTCACTGATAGTGGTTACGGTAAAGATATTGAATAAGGCCGCGCCATAGCTCAAGCGGTTAGTCGCTGGCTTCCCACTGCGGTGGCCCGGGTTCGATCCCGGGTCTGGTCAAGTGGGATTTGTGGTGGACAAAGTGGGGCTGGGGTACGTTTTCTCCGAGTACTTCGGTTTCCCCTGCCAATCTTCATTCCACCAATTGCTCCACAATCACCCTCACCTATCATCTGGGGGCTGGTACACTAGGCCAGAAGTGGCCGCAGTGCAAGGGACTTAGTCCCACCCCACTAGCAATAAAAAAAGTATTGTACAACTGATGTGTGAACATTTTTTACCTTTAATTTAACTTTTCAGAAATTGAAATACAAAATGGTTTCTCTTTGAATTGGATCCTCGGGAGTTACACTGAAATTGTACATGTTCCAATTATGGTTAAAATCATACACAACAGTATCGGAATGGCTTTCTGCGCGTATCTCGGGGGCAGGTCATTAAATATGTTCCGTCAGCTGAAACCATGCCACCAGTGTGACGCCATTTATAAGAAAGGTTCAAAAGCTACATTAATAAATTGAAATAACAGAGCCAATACACCAGAATCGTTGCGCTATGCTGTTTAGCTCCTAACACGTCATATGTAATTTGTTCTATGAAAACTTAGTTTCATATCGGTTCGCATTCCAGCCGCGTCTCTACAGTTCAGTGATGTGTTTGTTTACGAAACTGCCAACTGAGTGAGCAACAACCGTCGCTGACTCATTGTCATTTTGCACGTGACTTTACAACTGCAGTCACTGTTCTGAACCGCAAATAATACACAAACAGCGCCCACGTTTTGGCTTTTTACAGTTACATTTTCCAGTGACAGCCTTGTGCATGCAAGGACGGACATACCAGTCATAGAGCACTACCCTTCAGGCACACCGTTCACAGCTCACGGGAACCGCGCAGCTACTTAATACAACCTCCTTATTACAACCGTCACAACACAACAAATATCAAGATCAGTGGCTAGTTTCGGATGTTATGTTGTGACGGTTGTACACGTAATAAAGAGGTTGTATATTGCAACACAACAGGATGCATGAAATGAAAATCTAACT